ATACCTAAAATGTACCAATAAGCTTTTAAAAAAGAGTAGCACATATGAATTTTGGAGAGACATAATTCAACCCACAACAGGGCACATGTGTCTTTCCGGTTGCCCATTATTTATACCCCTGTGATGTGAATTTGGGTGGGAAGCAGAGTCCTCTTTCTGCTACAGAAGTTTGAAACCAGATACCTTTCAACTGCTTGATAACAATGAATTACCAGCGCTTATGCCCCATTTTGTTCAGGGAGATGCACCTGCACAGCACTGAGTAGGTCAGGATTTATTGTCACAAAGACATAGGCTACTGCATAATTTTCTCCATTTCCACAGGTTAACAGCCAGGCACTTTCATGGCCTCCAATGCCAGGTCAAGGGAGCCAGTGAGGTGAGAGGTCTGGTGTGGGGAGGGGATAGCTTGACAGCACTGGTCCTGTACCCACCCATATGCATTTCCCACCACTGATCTTTTTCTTTAGGTCTGATCTGACTAGACAAACTGTTCCTGGCAGCCGCTGCCCACTTCTGGGCCTTACCTATGGAGATTTTGTGGACAATACTTTTCAGCACAACCTATGTTAGATTGGCCATGCTAATTGTTCTGAGAGCGTTTGTTTGGCATAGTAGGGAAGATGTGAGCTTTGGAGCCAGTCAGATGGAGGGTCAAATGCTAATATACTTGCTATTTGACCTTGAGGAAGTTATTTAAGGTCCTAAAGCTGGACTTCTCTTTAAATGGACTGATAAAATTAGTAGCTACATCAACATGTTTTGAGGATTAAATAGCAAATGTCACGTGTGGTAAATGTGTCTCGTTATGACACTATGTCCCAGTGAGGACTCCACTTCTATCATGGAAGATCTACAGACAGGGATCTTTAGGCTCTACAGGGATTTAGGGGAAACCAGCTCAGCTAGCAACTATAGGAGATAAGCTTCACGTCTGGGCTTGCAGACCATATGTGGTTGACCTGCTGTTGTCGCTTCCTGGATGTTGGGCTTCTCACATAGATGTGTGGGGCAATCCTAGGGGATGGCAAGGTGGCCTGACCAACCTAATATTTAGCCTCCCTTCTTATTCTGTGCTGAGCTCCTAGCTCTGTTCCATTTTTGAATTTTTCTGAGTGCCCTAGAAAGAAGCAAGTGACCTGGAGAGGGTGTTAATACCTGTACCAGTCACTAATTGTTCTCACGTGTACTTTCTCTTCTGGTTTTGGAAACCTTGCTATTGTTTCAGTCCTTTTTCAAGATTTTTCTTTCCTTGCCCATTGAGGAAGGTCCCCATTCCATCTAGCACCCAGCACCAAGCCTTGTAACTGGTGGGAGAGACTCAGGGGAGACTTTTCATAGTGGCTCCAGGCCCAGGTCCCTTTTCTAGTTCAGACATTTACCTAAGGACCTGTTGCTATAGAAACAACCACCAGAAAAGCAGGGTGATGGGGAGGATGGCGTGCGGGTTGGTTTTTCTTGTTATGTATTTGCCTTGTGTGTGTGTGTGTGGAGAAATACAACTCATGTCCCCTGGTGCTTCATGGGCATGTGGCAGTCCCACTGCACACAAGGTCTGATGTCACGCCTCTGCAGTGGGAACCTGGGTCACTTTCAGCTGGGTGGCTCTGGAAGCCTTTGGAGGGGCCACTGGATTCTATAAGGATAAACAGGAGCCAATAGGGCTGGGCTATGTTTGATTTAAAAGAGGAAACCTGAAAATTAGAAGAGTGTTTTTTATGGTCTGGGAGGGAAGGAACCCTGAGTCCTGATTCGTGGAGAGCAGTGAAAGCACACGGAAGCCAAGGTAATGTTTATAAATGCCTTCCTCCAAAGGAGGAGGGAATATTTTCAGAGCTTCAGTCAGACAGCACCTTTGAGGGGTTCAGGGGAGATTGTTTAAATCCAGTTGCTCAGTGACTGAAAGGAAAAGGAAAGTCAGGGGCAAGTGTGCCTCAGAGTCTGCTGCAGACACAAGGCTGGCCCCTCTCTGGTGCCCTTCACATCAGGGATTTCTTGGTGGCTCCTTCCTGCTGCTCCATCTCCCTCCCTCCTCCTGCCCTTATTCAATGGGCAAGAACCTCACCTCTAATTATGGTGACCATGTTTTGCCAATGAAAATATCTGTCTTGGTGTCTAGGGGCAGCACAGGATCTTTGGAGGTCTGGTCCGGGTGAAGAGGAGGAAGGGAATAGAAGATGGGGTGTTGCTGGGAGGAGAGAGTACAGGCACAGGTGAACCCCAGGTCGCCCGGGTCCTGAGGCACTGTGTGATGGGATCCACTGCCTTGGGAAACATGAGTCAGAATGTAGGAGTTCAGTGCTTCCAGCCCCAGTGAGAGGCCCATACATATGCTATAGGTTTTGGATCCACTGGGGAGACCAGTGGAGCACTGCTACCCCAGGGAATCATGGCCCTATCAAGGGGGAAGGAGTCAGGGCCGCAGTTCAACTGTGTCTCTCTCTGGCCTTGGCATTCCTGGCAGGTAGAAGAGTACAGAAAAAGGAGGGAAAGGGGGAAATGCAAGGAGGACAAAGCCCAGGTTAATGTTTTGAAAGGTTGACCTCCACACCTAGCTGGAAGATGTCGTTATGGGTGACTCCTGCTATGTGTCCCTGCTGGAAAGGGAGCTAAGCAATGGGCATGAGCAGGAAGGACTCACCTTGGCTAGCTGGCTATGCTTCCCCGAGAAAGGAGGATTTCTTAAAAACTGTGCTCAGGAGACGATATACCGAGGGAAGGGATGACACACATTCAGCTTTACCATGTGTCCCACCTTGACCTTGCTGCTTCAGAGTCCTTACGGGAGAGAAAAGGGTGCCAAACGGATTACCGCTCTTCCCACAGGGAGGACCAGAGACCTGTCAGCTCTGGGCTAGGAGCAAGTAGGGCTCTTCTCATCTCCCTGCTGGGTCCTGCCCAGAGAGAGGCACTGTGCGTGCAGGCTCCTGAGGCCTGTACAGTGCAGGCACGTGTGCTTCCAGGGTAGATAGAGTAGGAGGTAATAAAAAGGGTCTGTTTCAGCTGAACTTCTGGGAGGCTGGGAGAGAAACACAAAAAGGCACCTTCCTCTGCTCCCTCACCAGTGTTGTGGAGTGAGTTGGTCCAGGTACTTACAAGTGCTTGTTCAGCACATACCTCAGTAGAAGGGCATTTAATGTTGATTCTCGAGCCAGGTCCCTTACCGTGACCAGAGAGACTGTGGGAAGCCTCTATTTATTTCATTCTTGCAGAATTTAGGAGACAACCTATGAAAGATGCTGAGATCTGAGTGCTTCCCTGGAGGGGATGCTGTGTTACTTTCAGCAGGTGACTCTGTGAGTCACCATCAAACCTCTGTCTTGGCTCTTCTGCTCTGCCCCCCCATCTCAGGGAGCTGCTGTCTACTGACTTCTGGACACTCTGTTCAGGAACTTATGGGGCTTGTCCCAGGAGGTGTCCAACTAGCTCCAACTCTGAGAAGGGAGGAAGTTAGCTCAGCTAGCCAGGCTTGAACCTCTCCCAGCAAGAGAATTTATACCAGAGTCAGTTCTTAGTTGAGATGCCACCATCCAGTGTCCCCTCAGCACCCAAGATGGCATGGGAGAGCCTGCACCTATTCTCTATCCATGTCCCCTGGGCCATCATGCAGAGGTGGAAATATATTGTGGTTCCACAGTGTCAGAGCTGGAAGGGATCCTTAATGGTGATAGTAATAGCAGCTGTCACTCTGTAAGCACATACTGCATGCCAGATGTGTTAAGAATATTGCTCCCTGTCCTCACAAGTGCTGGAGAGAGGCACTGTTATAACCACCACAGTGGAGGCACAGAGGGCATGAGTGGCTGGGTAGCAGAATGGGCAGGCGCCCATTGGCATTCAAATCCCAGCTCTGCCATTTAGTCACCATCTGTGGGACTCTGGGTGTCAGCTTCGCAGAAGCTGCCCTATAGGGGGAGAGTGAAGTCCCTCAGCATCTGGATAAGGTCTGACCTCTCATAGAGGCTGTTGTGGACAAGGCTAGTCATCTCTAGATTGCTTTTTATATCATCCTATGCTGGAATCGTCTCTCAGGAAGCACCCTGGCCTCTCATCGATCTTCTAACCCCTGGACACTTCACAACATCCACAGAAGCTGTAGGAGAATAAAAATAAAATTGATCATCAGAGCTTCTCTATTGTAACCAACACGGGCTTTTTAGGAGCTCCACATGGATGTCCAATTATTCTGTTCTTCCAAAATATTCATAATATTCAAGTAAATATGCAAGATTTACCATATACAGATCCCTCTCTCCCCCATCTCTCTCTCATCTTTTCTTACAGGAATTTATTGCATGACCAAAAATTACGTGCACAAAAATGGAGATTTCTTCCTGATTTATACCCTGGATTTAACAGGTTCATTACAGTTAGAATCAGAAACAAGGAAACAAAATAGGAATGCCAGTGTCTTATTTATTTTCCTTTAGTCTCCCTCTCCTTTTAATTCAAACCTCTCTCCTTCCAGATGAATATAAACATGTTACAACTGACCCCAGTTTTACTCGTAACTTCAAAAGATGAATCACAGAGATTTGGCAAAGATAGACTGGCGTGAGCAAATCCTATGTGGAAGTAAGTGACTCTTTTAAGCTGGCCTGACCTCGGTAATCAGTCTCTATCAGCATCCCTCATTCCAAGGTCAAGACGTCACTCAAATGTGACAGTAGATGGAGTCTTCAGTCCAAGAAGCCCCAGGAATTCTGGCACGGACTGAGGGCTGCAGTTTCCCGGGTTCTGCATTTGCACAAGAGGTTCTAAAGTGTCACTGGACCCATGTTGATGTACAGCAGTCAGTGAAGCCTTTGCCAGTCCTTTGGCTCTTTGTCCATGCAGAGCCAGCTCATTCTGCTCCTACCCTTGAGCCAGAAGAGAGACATAGTTTGATCAGTATGACCGTGTTCTGCACCACGCGAGATGAGCAGGCAGGCAGTTAGCAGAAAAGGAGATGCCAAAGCTGAGACGCGGAAAGGTGGATGTGAACCCACTTTGCCTGAGCCAAGTGTTCGGAAGAAGCTGGGAATGGAGGAGAAATCTGAGTGAGGTTCTTGCCGCTGCACGGGCAGCTGGGTGACGAGCCGCAGCAGCCCCTCTTGCGCCTCACTTGGACACTAGCATACGGACAAACTCCTCGTAGTTCACTTGCCCATCTCCATCCGCGTCTGCTGCGCGGATCATCTCGTCCACCTCCTCGTCACTCAGCTTCTCCCCCAGCCTGGTCATCACGTGCCGCAGCTCAGGGGCACTGACGTAGCCGTTGCCATCCTTGTCGAACACGCGGAAGGCCTCCCGGATCTCCTCCTCGCTGTCTGTGTCTTTCATCTTCCGGGCCATGAGGCCCAGGAATTCCGGGAAGTCCACCGTGCCGTTTCCATCCCGGTCGACCTCATTTACCATGCCCTGAAGCTCAGCCTCCGTGGGATTCTGGCCCAGGGACCTCATGACAGTGCCCAGCTCCTGGGGGGTGATGCAGCCATCCCCATCCTTGTCAAACAGAGAAAAGGCCTCCTTGAACTCAGCAATTTGCTCCTCGGTCAGCTGGCTGGCCATGCTGGCAGGGTGTGGGCGGCCTGGCCGCAGAGGGGTCCGGGCTGGTCTCTGCTCCTGCCCTCTGGGACGGCTACGCTCTTCTTCCTGGCTGTGGAGGGACAAGTGGAGATCCGAGGGGCGGCTGACTGTCTGGCTTTCTAGCCTTGCCTTGAATCGCTGGAGCTTAAGAAGGAGCAGAGTCCTCCCCCACTCCCAGCCTGCCAGGATTGGGCTGCCATCCGCAGACACCCCCGCCCCTGTGGTTGCCTGAAGGCCGAGTCCTGTTTAGACAGTCATCCAGGAGCAGCTACCAGGCCAGCCTGCTGACGGAGCTGACGCCAACCCCTTTATGTGAAAGGCAGGCCGTTTTCACCTGGACACCCGCAGGGCTGGCAGGAGCCACCGGTAATGACATCTTCCTTCGAGGTGCGTGGGTCAGCATTTACAGAAATTGACCTGGTGTTCCAACTTGTGTTTCCGCTTTTTTCCTAATCTTCCGCCTGCCCCCCAATCTTCCCCCTCTTTACTCAATAAAATAACCAGCCAACACCCTGTTTTCCCCTTCACTTGAAGGTTTTTTGTTTTGTTTCGTTTTTAGGATGAAAAGCAGAAATTGTCTTTACTGAAAGGGATTTCCTTTCCGAGACTTGGTCTCCAAAGTTCTGGGAGCCAGTTGTCAGAGGAAGACAAGGATTTTTTCTTGGAGTAAAAGCAGTGCTTTCTTGTCTTCAGAATAGAAACAAATGGAGGATTTTCTCGTACCCATTCACTGTCAGTCACTTGTTCACAGGGGTTCACTGAGTGACTATGATGCGCGGGTACTCTTCAAAGCAGGCCACTTCTGTCCCCATGAAGTCACATTTCAGTGGTGACACAGAGAGCTAGTGAATAAACGAACAGAGAACCAAGAAGAGGTCATGAGAGATTTTTGATAATACTGAGAAGGGAGTGAAAGGTACGGATGGAGAAGACATGGAAAGGTTATCTCCTTCATCATCATCAAGTGCAGCCCATCTACAGAAAGGCACTCAAGGGTGGCCCTGAAAAAGAGGAGGGCATGGTGGTTCTGAGGGACACAAAGATAACCAGTGTGGAGGAGGTGGGGAGAAAGGACAGACAATGGAGACTTTGCGGGACTTGGGGAATTCCCACTCTGTGCTTGGATACGTGGGCCCCCTGGACGCTTTCAGCAAGGGCTTATCTAAGCCTTGGGTGTGGTGGGGACAAAGCCAGAGTTAGGAGCATCTCCAAGGGGAGATGGGCTCAAGAAGGACCGCTGTGTGCTCCCCAGGCACCTGGACTCAGCTCCCTGTCTCCAGGAGGCCTGGGGAAATGACCTCCTGAGACGCAGAAAAGGTTGATTTTTCAGTGGGAATCCAAGAAAATCCGAACTGAAGAGAAATGTGGAGCTGATACTTTCTTTATTCTATTGTGGGATGTGGAGGAATGGGGGTGAGGGTCTATTGAGGGAAAATGTATTTGTAAGGACTGGGCTTACTGATAAGAAAATGTAGCAGGAAAATATTAGTATTTCTCACTCTCTGAATTTCCTTTCTTTTCCCATTCTACTATTTATAGCACCGTTTCTTTCTTCATTTGAGTACACAGCAACTCTGCTCTTCCTTGTTCAGAGAGAGCTTTTGGTAGTGACAAATTAGAAGTTAACCTGCATGAAGGTTCCCAGAAAGCCCAGGCTCTGATGGTTGAAGGAGGAGGAAGAAGGAAGATTTTTGTCTTGGGAGAAACAGTGAGGCTGAAGAATCTCCCAAACCTGAATCTTTTCCTTGAGAAGAGAGGCTTTGAAATACCCACACAGCAGGATCCAGAGATGGAGAGGCCATATGCAGCCTTGGAAAATAGTTCTGGAATCAGAGGGTAGCATTACTTTTCTTATATTCCCTCTTAACTGCTGGAGAAGCAAATTCATGAAATAATATAAGGGCAGTAGCAAGAGGCAGAATAACCAGCTTCCAGTGACAAATGGCCAGAGATTTCTTAGAAACCCAGGGACTGGCATCACCGGAACCCTGTGGCTGAGGCAGTCCCATGATCAGTGAGAACTCAAAGCTAGACAGGACCTTGTTCACTCCTCCTGCCTCCTAGAAGTAGGGTAAGAGGTGACTGGTAACTGGTGGTTTCTAGGGCATGGCTCCCATTCAAACCCCCTGCTTTTGCCAATGTGTTTTTTAAAAAGCCACGTTGAAAGAGAAATCAATAAGGATATTAAACAGGGTTAGTCCACATGACTCACAGAAGCCTGACTTGTGATAGCTAAACTGTTGTAATTTACAAGTTGGGAAACTATGGCAGAGGGAATGTTTCTAATTTCCTGGTTTAATTCTTTCTCTGTAGCCTCTCACCCCATACACTGATTCCCTTCCCTACAAAATGAACAAGAACACACACACACACACACACACACACACACACACACACACACACTTTGGGGGCCTCTGAAGATCCGTGTAAACATTTAAAAGTTAAATATGTTGAAATATTTAAATGTTACTATGTATTTAGAACTTTAGAAGTAAAGCCTAATACAGTGTAATTCCAGCTACTCAAGAGGCCGTGGCAGGAGAACTGTAAATTTGAGGCCAGCCTGGACAATTTAGTAAGACCCTGACTCAAAATAAAAAGCAAAAAGGGTTAGGCATATAGCTTAGTAATGGAGGGCCCCACTGTCACACTTTTGTAAATAAAAAAAATTACTTGGTCACATAAATGACTTATTTTTACTAAGAAAATATTTTCCAAGATGAAGAACATTTACAAAAGCAGCTCTGCAAATCTCTTTAATGTCTGACTTTATGAAGCATACATTCATCTGCTTCCAATCTGTGGCAAAATGCTTTTTTGAAATATATATTATCCAGCTTCACACAGATACACAGTTGGGAAAGGAGGGAGCATTCAAGTGGCTTTGAAAGAAAATTGTGGATATTTTTCTTTGATGTTACAGCAGAGTTTGACAAGCAGTAGATACTTAGAGGTTAGTTGTAGTATGGATCTGAGAGCATAACAACTAACTTTTTATACTGTTCCATTCCACTAAAATCTACTGGTCTGTTTTGCATTTTGAATGGATCTTTTATTGAAATTATGTAATGCCATTCACTGGTCACTTGGAAAATGCTGGTTCCTTGAGAAGTCCTGCAGATCATTTAAAAGATCAGCTTCTTTTATTCAGATTTCATTTTACCACTATATTGTTACCATCAATCCCATTGGAAAGAAATTTTATTTTGAGACAGTGTCTCACTGGCCTTGATGTCTGTCGAACTTTAGGCTATCTTCCGGCCCTAGTCTCTCAAGTGCTGGGATTATAGGCATGCAGCACTACATCGGGCTGCAGAAATCTTACAGTACTAAGAAGACCTCAAGCCCTAGTGTCAAATACAAAATTTCCAAAATTCCAATTTTCATTTGAAAGCTCAATGTTTATTATTGACAACAAACTCTGTCCATTGTTTTCCATAAATCGACAGGCTTGCTTTATCCATTTTTAACAAACCTTCTGCCGAGTGTTACATCTGAGCAGCCACGGTGGGTCCCTCAGCTCTTATTTCTGATGAAGATGGTGTTCTATGGAAAAGCTGGCCTTTCCACTCCTGGACTCAGTGACACATGTTCTCTCCTTATTACAACTGTGGTGCTTCAGTATTTCCCAAAATACTAACAATGTGCCCCAAGGATTGAAATTTAATAAATGAATAGCTTTACTGCATCTCTAAGGGCATTCTCAAGTGAATCTCGCTTTTAAAAAATGAGACAATATGGCAGTGGTGAGCATAAGGGTCAACTGTAAAGGAGCCTTGGTTCAGGCCAGGGGTAGCAGTTGCCACTGCTTTTTTTTTTCCTCTCTCTCTCTCATTGAGTTTATTGGTGCTTTTAGGTATACAGCACATTTATATTCATCATTGGAATCTTGTACCTTTACGTGACAGGTCTTGGTTCTCATTTTTTTCCCCTTGTCCCTGCCCTCCCTTTGTCCCCTCCACCCTCCCTATTTGCAATGACTTTGTTTCCATTTTTTCCTTTTCTCATATTTTTCCTGTACCTTATTTCTTCTCTTCCCTTCCCACTTTCCTTACACCTTTATCCCTTTTCTTCCTATTTCACATTGTCAATTATACAATTTGGATCTTGTTTGCACTTTTAGTTTTTCACACCATACCACTGCTTTCTGACCTTTAGGCAAACATCAACACTGTGGAAAAGGCAAAACACAAAATGAAAAAGCAAAAACACACTGGAATTTTATGAAAGTAGTTTTGAACTTCTAGGTCCTCTGAAAGGGTTTTGAGATACCCTGCTTCCCAAATCATGGGTACACTGGAGACCAACTTCCCTGAAGTGCTAGGCAGCGTGGGTCTAAACTAGGTATAGAATCCTCCAAAATGAAAGTGTGGGGCGCTGAAGACTCCAAAATCATGGTAAGATATTGTTGGCCTTAGAGTATGGTAGTAATGAAGACTGCACATTGAAGGAACCCACCATAATTGCTGCCTTTGAGAAGGAGAAACCCTAAACGCAAGGTCTTTTACTTCATTTGTCTGGATTGGAGTTACAAGTAGCTTTTGTTAAAAAGAATTTGTCAAGCACGCTTGTGATTTTACTCTCCCTCTGGATGCTATAGAAAGAGATATGGATCAGGATTCTTCAAGCTTCTCTAGCCACTTCCATGCCTCTGACTCTGCTAGAATGCGTGTGACTAAGGGTAGCCATGGGGTGCTCTTTTTCTCTTCTTGACAAGTCACCTACTTGCCTAATATTTACTCGTATACATCCTTTGCTGTTCAGTATAAATACACAGTTAGTATGTGTGGACACATTCATGTAATTCCAGTAATCACACATGTAATTCCAGTACTCAGGAGACTGAGGCAGGAGGATCACTGTGAGTTCGAGGCCAGCCTGGTCTACATAGTGAGTTCAGGGACAACCTGAACTACAAAGTGAGACCCTGTCTAAAAAAAAAAAAAAAAGAAAGAAAAAAGAAAACATATTGATTCAGTTAATAGCCATAGAGCAATTACTTTCATCTATTTTCTTATATCTCTGTGGTTCAGATGACAACTATGTATGAGTTAAGTTTACATGACTAGCAAATGGAAAGCTTGGACTGGAATCCAGATTCTCTAATTCCTATACCCTCACTTGGTGTCCCATCCTGTTTATTGTCATCAACTCAGTCTTCAACCTCTTTCTCCTGTAGCCCCAAAAGTGACTGACTAGTATAGAAATCTTTCAGTGCAGGAAAGTATGGAAACATACATGTTGATCAAGCATGTT